GTAAGGTCTTAGGGCCTGGCACAATGGCAGCGTCTTGCCACGGAGCCAGCTGGACGTGGGTCCCCTTCCCTCTGTCCCTGGTGAGGCAGCAAAGGGGCTCGCTCTGGGGTGCAGGGAAGCTGCCTGTGCCAGCAAGATCTGTCTGTGCTAACAAGCAGAAACGGGAGTAACAGGAAGGTCAGAGGCGAAGGTGTCACTTGCAGACGGGACGTGTGGCAGGATGTGACTGTCTCTTTTATCCCCGGCAGGTCGCAAGGCAGGGAAAGGCTTTTACATTTACCAGGAAGGGGTGAAGAACAGGAACGTGAATTCTGGCATGGATGAGATCTTGGCACGGTTCAAAGTGCCAGCCAGACCTGAAGTGTAAGTAGCTGCGCACGGAGCGGTGGTGCGGGCTGGCTCTCACCCCTGCCCAGCTCCTTCTCCTGCCTCTGAGCAGCGGCACGAGGGCTGTGCCGGGCAGCGCCGGAGGACGTTGCTGATCAGAGTCACTCCAGATGGCATTTGGCTGTTCCCAGCTGGCGGATCTTGGCACGGTTCAAAGTGCCAGCCAGACCTGAAGTGTAAGTAGCTGCGCACGGAGCGGTGGTGCGGGCTGGCTCTCACCCCTGCCCAGCTCCTTCTCCTGCCTCTGAGCAGCGGCACGAGGGCTGTGCCGGGCAGCGCCGGAGGACGTTGCTGATCAGAGTCACTCCAGATGGCATTTGGCTGTTCCCAGCTGGCGTGTAGTGGGGAGGCTGTTGGCTCTGGAGAGCCTGAGCTCGCAGGGATTAATGGGGCATCCTTGAATTTATCAGCATTTACTTGGGCACCTCTGCAGAAAGGTTTTCAGTGGTGGGGCTTGCCAGCGCAGGCGGGTTGGTGCAGCCCCTGCTGTGACCTTCCTGGCATCAGACCTGTGTGCAGCCTGGCACCGAAACATCTCCTGGCGTAGTTCCCATCTGGCCTGATCGAGCCTCTGCCGTTCTTACGTTCCTGCTTCAGGACACGTCCCAGAACTTAGTCCTTACCCTCATGCGGATAGGGACGCTTTCAGTGAGGAACCAGTCTCTCCCCTACCCCAGGCGTGGCTCTGTCCCCCATCTGTGCTGGCTTCACGTGCTCCTCTGTCCAGCTGCAGTGTTACCTGCACAGCCCTCACAGAGTCTTTCCTTGCAGCTGCACCGATGAGGACATCCAGATGCGCTTGGTGACGAGGTTTGTGAACGAGGCAGTCATGTGCCTGCAGGAAGGGATCCTCAGCAACCCCGTGGAGGGAGATATTGGTGCTGTGTTCGGCTTGGGCTTCCCGCCATGCCTGGGAGGTAGGTGGCTTCAGCTGGGCTTTTGGCTGGACTGCATGACTTGGCTTGAAAACTTCATAGCGGGCTCGCCTAGTGGGCTCTAGCTAGCCACAAGAGGGGAGTCAACCATCAAGGCCAGGTTTGAACTGCAGTCTGACAAGCCTGAGTGTCCTTCTCCCACGTAAAGCCTGAGCCAGAGGTTGTTCCGGCATTCCCACCCCACGAGAGGTGGCAGTGAGCCTGAGAGCTGCTGTGAGATGTTTCTGCCAGGACCCAGTGGAGTTTCTCTGCTGCACAGCTGTTTCACAGAGCTGTGGCTGGTGAGGATCAGGGTGCTCTCACCAGGCCATGTGCTCTGTCTTCGGGTTTGAATAAGGTGGCAGAGCCACTCTGGGCCCAGCCTCATCAGCGCTTCCGTGGTAACTCCAAAGGAAGAGCTCTTACCATGCCTGATAGTCACGGCGGTGTAGGTGGATTGGGAGATTTGTAAAGGCCCTACATTTTTAAGATATCCCTGGCTTGCTTTTGTGCAGCCGTATGGCACTTGGTGAAAAATGAAGCTCTGGTATCTCGTGTCTTGCCACTGGTACGTGCCTGGGTGGGCAGGAAGGTGTCTTGCAGCACTTCTGGAAACCCGGTCTCACACTGCACACAGAATTGAGGAAAGACCCACCGTTGCCCTCGTGCTCGCACGTGGCACAGCTAAGGCTGGACTGATAGCCTCAGCCATGGTGCACAGCGCTTTTCAGGCCAAGGCAAAGCTCTCCTGGACCTGCCTGCAAGCTGCCTGGGTGACTGTGGCCTGGGCAGCGGGTGAGGCAGGAGCTCAGGTCTGGGTCACAGCTAAAGGACAGTAAGGGCTCTTGGGCATGAGGTGGTGGTTCTGCCCGGTACCTACCACTTTCCCTCCTTGAGGCAAGCTCAGACTAGAGGAGCAGTCCCAAATATCTGCACCCCAGCTTGTCTCCAGCAGCCCAGTCTGTTCCCTGTTGCCTGCCTCCACGGAGCGGAGGTGAAGTCCTGCATGGCCCTGCCCCCAGACTGGAGATCACTTCTGGGGAAGGGTGGGCTGGCCAAATCCAGTGCTCTCACCTTTCCAGGCACCTTGGTGCTTCTCCCTTCCTTGCCACAACTGTGTGTCTCTGTCCCCGGCAGGTCCCTTCAGGTACGCAGACTCGTATGGAGCCAAGCAGCTGGTGGACAAGCTGCGGAAGTATGAGGCCGTCTAC